GACACACACAGACACACACACAGACACACACACAGACACACACACAGACACACACACAGACACACACACTCACTCGTCTTGAATATACAGACTTCTTGACCTCTCACCTATGAAATGAAATTCACTCATCAATTATAGACCTTAAGAACTACTAAAGTGTCTTTCTGAGAACCTGGTCTACGTCAGTGAGTGTCATGCAGTGACATCTGAACCCTGTTTAGCTCCCACTGTGATGCCAAAACCCTCCATCTGTGGACAAATGCCAGAAATGTGCAATGCAATTCTAACTGAGAAACACAAACACACATTTAATTCTGCAGGATGAATAAATCAGAGGTTTGGAAGCCAAATCCAGAATTCAGTTCCACAATGAGAAATAAACAGCTAAGAAAGCTAATGTTTTAAATGGCAATAAAAAAATATTACTGTGACATTGGAAAACCAGGATTATTATAATATGATAACAGAACTCCAACCGTTTCACCGTTTGTATCACTCCGCTTTGCAGTATTTCTCACAACGAGTGTCATGAACGCCCAAATCCACTAATTTTATAAATAATACTGTTTTTGTGTCACGGAATGTAGTTTTAAGACTTTTTTGGGTGAGAATGTAGTTGTTTAGACTTCAAATATGCGGTTTGTTAATAAAGATAATTCTATTTAGAATCTATTTGAATTTTGCTTTGACGTTTTCAGAGATGTGAGCTCCAGGGTGTCAGCGGCCGTTCAGCTCTTATGAACCCGCCGAGAGCAGCCTCACCTCGGCCAGATCTTCTGGAATTTGCTGCTGGCTCTGATGTCTCTATAGTGGTTAAACATGAGATATAATTCATTTTGGGTAAATCTAATGGACGATCTTTGGTCTCATTGATCTATTATTTGTTCCAGAGCAAATTGTTTTGGCTGAGGGCCAAGTATCATAAAGTTATATTACTTTAATGCTTTACCAGAGCGCCTTTGTACTTTTGACTGAATTGCTTAGCAACTTTGATGATGGCCGTTGTTGTTGTTTATTAAATATTATTATTCAATAAATAACATTTTATATAAATAATAGTAGTATTTAATAATAGTAGTAGTATTGAGAAATGGTGTGTGTTCGTGATGATTTTAGTTACATTATTCCGCCATTAGATGTCGACAAGAGACTGTTTTTCTGAGTGAGTCAGCAGTAAAGAGTCAAGACTTTTATATTGAAAGAGACTGAAACTGAAAGGGTTGTAAACAAGGAAGTTATTTTTACTTTCAACAACAGCTTGTAAGACCAGAGATTGTCGTCTTAATATAGGGAGATACGAGGGTCTGTATTACCTACTATTGGAAAAAGTGTAACGGTCAACTTGGATCACGTGTGCCTTAATAACCAATCACAGTACAGCCTTCACGTCATTGAATTTCAGTCGGAGTTGTGCGACACTCAATCACTGTTTATGGATACCATAGGAATTAATTAGAAATGCCGTAAGCTGTATCCCACCTGTCACAAAAAGTCAGTGACTTCTCTTATAAAATGCCAATTTTTTTTCGGTGTAAACTCTAAAAATAGTCCAATCCAAAAGTATTGCTTAGTGTAAAACATGTTGGAGATTAGCTGATAGGCTGTCGATTCATTAAACGATAAGCTGTTTCCTCTAAACAGCTGTTTATTCAGTGTAGTGAAGCCTCTCCTCCATTGACATCCATTAAAAAAAAAAACGGCCTCTGGTCTCCTTTCCCACGTACTGGCAAACCGGAAGCGTTAGCATTAGCCGTTACGTTTTTTTGGCTAAAGGTTGCAGGCTTGCTTTCTAGTGGCTTTGGTAAGACGTAGCCAACAAACAGATAAAAGGATAGTACGGCAAAGATATCGCTTTCCTCAGCGGATATTCAAACTAATGTTTTATTGTGAATATGAGAATGAGCTGAAGAATGAATGCTGTATCAGATGCAGGTAATCACACTCGCTAAGTCCATCTCTTTCATAATACTCTACTGTACATAATACAATAAGCTTTTAATACAGCAACTCAACGTTCCTTCATTATTAGTTCTAAAGTGTTTTTTCGAATTAGTAACGAAGGCTTGAGCTCAGCTGTTAAACTGTCAAACTGAGATTTGAATCCGTGGCGGAAGGAAATAGTTCTGTACAAAAGAGGGGTTTTTAAAGACACTCCATTATGTATTTACAAACTCGTGCCGTTTAATTGTTGTATAAACATAATATCACACTCATATTGTGCGATATGGCTGTATATCGGCACGCTGTGACTACAGCGATTACAGCCGAATCACAGCCGTGCCGATATACAACCATATCGCACTGCTACTTGTGTGATATTTCTCATATATCAGTCAAAACGATTTGCTCTGGTACAAATAATAGATGAATGAGACCAAAGACTGCCCGAGAGATTTACCCAAAACAAATTATATCTCACGTTTAACCACTATAGAGACATCAGAGCCAGCAGCAAATTCAAGAAGATCTGGCCGAGGTGAGGCTGCTCTCAGCGGTTTCATTAGCGCTGAACGGCTGTTGACACCCTGGAGCTCACATCTCTGAAAACGTCCAAGCAAAAATAAAGATAATTCTATTTAGAATCTATTTGAATTTTGCTTTGACGTTTTCAGAGATGTGAGCTCCAGGGTGTCAGCGGCCGTTCAGCTCTTATGAACCCGCCGAGAGCAGCCTCACCTCGGCCAGATCTTCTGGAATTTGCTGCTGGCTCTGATGTCTCTATAGTGGTTAAACATGAGATATAATTCATTTTGGGTAAATCTAATGGACGATCTTTGGTCTCATTGATCTATTATTTGTTCCAGAGCAAATTGTTTTGGCTGAGGGCCAAGTATCATAAAGTTATATTACTTTAATGCTTTACCAGAGCGCCTTTGTACTTTTGACTGAATTGCTTAGCAACTTTGATGATGGCCGTTGTTGTTGTTTATTAAATATTATTATTCAATAAATAACATTTTATATAAATAATAGTAGTATTTAATAATAGTAGTAGTATTGAGAAATGGTGTGTGTTCGTGATGATTTTAGTTACATTATTCCGCCATTAGATGTCGACAAGAGACTGTTTTTCTGAGTGAGTCAGCAGTAAAGAGTCAAGACTTTTATATTGAAAGAGACTGAAACTGAAAGGGTTGTAAACAAGGAAGTTATTTTTACTTTCAACAACAGCTTGTAAGACCAGAGATTGTCGTCTTAATATAGGGAGATACGAGGGTCTGTATTACCTACTATTGGAAAAAGTGTAACGGTCAACTTGGATCACGTGTGCCTTAATAACCAATCACAGTACAGCCTTCACGTCATTGAATTTCAGTCGGAGTTGTGCGACACTCAATCACTGTTTATGGATACCATAGGAATTAATTAGAAATGCCGTAAGCTGTATCCCACCTGTCACAAAAAGTCAGTGACTTCTCTTATAAAATGCCAATTTTTTTTCGGTGTAAACTCTAAAAATAGTCCAATCCAAAAGTATTGCTTAGTGTAAAACATGTTGGAGATTAGCTGATAGGCTGTCGATTCATTAAACGATAAGCTGTTTCCTCTAAACAGCTGTTTATTCAGTGTAGTGAAGCCTCTCCTCCATTGACATCCATTAAAAAAAAAAACGGCCTCTGGTCTCCTTTCCCACGTACTGGCAAACCGGAAGCTTTAGCATTAGCCGTTACGTTTTTTTGGCTAAAGGTTGCAGGCTTGCTTTCTAGTGGCTTTGGTAAGACGTAGCCAACAAACAGATAAAAGGATAGTACGGCAAAGATATCGCTTTCCTCAGCGGATATTCAAACTAATGTTTTATTGTGAATATGAGAATGAGCTGAAGAATGAATGCTGTATCAGATGCAGGTAATCACACTCGCTAAGTCCATCTCTTTCATAATACTCTACTGTACATAATACAATAAGCTTTTAATACAGCAACTCAACGTTCCTTCATTATTAGTTCTAAAGTGTTTTTTCGAATTAGTAACGAAGGCTTGAGCTCAGCTGTTAAACTGTCAAACTGAGATTTGAATCCGTGGCGGAAGGAAATAGTTCTGTACAAAAGAGGGGTTTTTAAAGACACTCCATTATGTATTTACAAACTCGTGCCGTTTAATTGTTGTATAAACATAATATCACACTCATATTGTGCGATATGGCTGTATATCGGCACGCTGTGACTACAGCGATTACAGCCGAATCACAGCCGTGCCGATATACAACCATATCGCACTGCTACTTGTGTGATATTTCTCATTTCATTTAGAATTTAATTTTATTATTTAATATTAAGCACCACATACAGACATGTAACATTCTGTTAATGGATTTTATTGCATGAGGATTGGCTCTATAAGGATTTACGGGCCCTAAATGTGTTCAGGACACTGGAACAACTTGCTAGAGTGACCGTGAGAGGTATCCCAATCTAAGCTCTGAGTACAGGAAACCTCCCTGTGGTGAAAGAAGGAACTCACTTTATTTAATGTTAACATTCAAACATTTGGTATCTCTGAAAAGCCCTGAATGTGCTCTGAACAAGGACATCCAGACTTACAACTGTGACATGAAAGTTCTCAGAGAAATCGTTAAAACATAATGTCCTCTACAGAGGACAAAACTCCATAGCTGGTTGTCAGGAGGATATAACAACAATAAAACTAATAAAGAGGACAAAAAACAAAATTACTAAAACTTTTAAATTAAAATGAAAACAAAATATAAAAATAAAATCTAATTCAAAATATTAACAAAAACTATAGCCCAATAGTATATGCTCTCGATGGTGCCTCTGTAGAAGGTGTACATGATCCATTGTTTCCATCTATAACCCACAGTATCAACGATTCAACAAGATTATAGATTTGTGATTATAGATTTAAAGTGCTTTAATCTAACTCTTCCTCCTTAAATTTTAGTTTATTTAAAACCAAAAAAAAGAGCTTTTAAGTGACAATGTATCTATTGTTTTCTGTATTAATTCTTTGTATCAGATTCAGAACATAAACACCTAGAGGGATGTGTGTTCATGAATATTCATCAGTACATCATTCTAATTGTTTGATGGTATAGCCTTTGTGAGAACTGTTATTAAAAACATTCCTCTCATCTCTAGAGAATATTGTGTGTATCCATAGCAAAGCAAATTTTACATCCAAAAAAAAAAAAGAAAAAAAAAAAGCTTCATACTAAAGTGTTCAAACAATATTAGCTTCAAAATAGGACATAAAGACAATATTCTTGGTCAAGACCAGCCAACATAAGGCGATTCTGACATCTGGAAATCATAAAACACTTTGCTGACATGTAGATGTGAGGAAAAATAAAGCTCATATCGCCACTTCCTCTGCCAAGATGAGTCCGGTGAACTTAAATATACACATCAGAGGGTATTTATGGCGTGAGAGCTCGTGATGACAGAAAGCATTTAAGTTTCCTCTCAGCTCTGCATAAAAACTTGAGAGAACAGGAGAACCTGCTTGCTTAGGTTCAACTCCAGACCAGCTTTCTTGACCTAAATCCTAAGCTGAATAATAAAAGCGTTCATGCAGGTTTGCAAAAATGAAATTCAAGCACTTTTTTCATCATTTTTAACTCACTCTTATGGCAATTCTTAACTATTTTACAAATTAGACAATTGGTGGCAAATTTGTACAATCTTATTTGCATGTTCTTATAAAGTCTGCTTAAGTTGTTTGGTTTATGTCCCTAAAAATCATACATTTTCATACTAACCAAATCATATGAATGTATATGAAATCAGCAACTTCTTTCTCATGAGATAGAGTTGGCATTTTCAAGGTACCATTGTTTTTTCTTTTGTGTGAATGAAATGATTGATTTGTTTATACTGTACTACAATCAAGCTACTTGTTTAAAAAAGTAGTTAGCTATACTACAAGCAACTAACAAGAAGTAGCTAACTATAGAAAAGTTACTTAAAGGGTCAATATCTTTTTAAATATTTGACTATACAGTCATATAAATGTATCACTTAATCAGAGCGTCAACTGAGAAACGTTTACTTAGTACGATTAAAAAAACTAGAATACTGTATAATTTACAGTGTATGACGTAGTGGTTAACTAAATAGTACTGTATGAGAAAAAGAACCACTTAGGAAGAACCAGTCCACTAGAATGAATCAGAATTTCCAATGCTCATACGAGAAAAAGAACTCTTTGTGACAAATTGATTCAATAGAAAGAATCTTTCTATTAGTCTTTCCGATAAAGTAGCTAAATTATTTATCTGTTTATACTTCAGTACAGTAACATTTTTATAAATGGACTTTCAGTTATATAAATATTGTATATAAAGAGTCATTCATTTGAATGAACAATCTGAATAGGGTGACAACATCAAACTATAAAAAGATTTGTATTTTTTTTTTAAGGCAATTTAAAGATAAATTTAATGCAACTACAAAACCTAGAATACTGCATAATTTATATGACCCAAATACAATGATTAACTAAATATTTTGCTAAAAAATTATTTAATGTGTTCATTTACAAGAATTGTCCAGAAGAAAAAAATTCACTTGAATATATTGGATATTCCAATTGAACCATTTATGACAAATTGATTCACTAAAACGACACTCAGACTTTCAAATGCTACATATGAGAGAAAGAACCATACAGAGCAGAATGAACTGGTTCACTAAAATGAATCAGACTTTTCAGTGCTACAATTGCATTTCCTTATATAATTTACCAGACATGTACGTTCATGACTCCAAACCAGAAACGGTTGTGCTGACAATATGCAATAACATTTTCTTTTCAAATATAGTATTACTTTTCTTCTTTGGATGTTTAAAGAAAAAATATTGGCTTTTTTTAGGAATATATTTTCAAAACCCGTGTACTCTAATCCTGAAAACATATCAGTCATTTTCCAAATGCTGTAAAACAGGTCTCAGATCAGCACGAGACGTACTGATACCCACACAGAGTCTACTGAGAAAGGTCTAGCTGTTATAGAAATCCCTCCGTTTGTCCCTGAGCTACACTGGTCTCAATCAGGTCCGAGATTGTGCTATCAGCACCCCCGCAGACACTTTTGACTTAAAAAATATCCGTTCCTGAAGCCATGGCAGCTCTCACACGAGACCAGAGGGTTACGAAAGACCAAGACTGAGAGAGGAGACAGACAAGGGATGAATCAGACTTGAATGAAGTGAACGATGAAACAAATCAAGTACAAACTCTTCTTTCGGTCCCACAGGCTACGGCGTGAGAGATGAGGGGACGAGGAAAACATGCCGCGTGACAACATGATTCAATGAATGACCGCCATCAATCACACACTTCAGAGGACGGAGGAACAGCGGGGAAAACAGACTGAACGCAAGAATGAAAACAGCAGGAGAGCTCAGAGAAATAAACGAACACACACAGACGTCAGCCCTCATAGCTGGGCCCAAAACCGCTTTTCCTCTAATCAATTTCTTAATTAGAAGAATCCATTGATGGAAGTTTGAGCTTCAATGCATGAGGATCTGAATGGAATTCTGAAAGCATAAAAGTGAAGTGAAGTGAAGTGACGTGACATGACATGTGGCCAAGTATGGTGACCCATACTTGGAATTAGTGCTTCGCATTTATCCCATCCAAAGTGCACACACACAGCAGTGAACACACAGACACCCGGAGCAGTGGACAACCATTTTTTTTTTTTGCTGCGGCACCCAGGGAGCAGTTGGGGGTTCGATGCCTTGCTCAAGGGCATGTCAGTCGTGGTATCGAAGGGGGGAGAGAGCACTGTACATTCACTCCCCCCACCTACAATCCCTGCAGTACGAGACTCGAACCCACAACCTTTGGGTTACGAGTCCGACTCTCTAACCATTAGGCCATGACTTCCCCAACTTAAAACCTGCTTTATCAAATGCATCTATGGTTGTGTTTGGACTGGAATACACTGTAAAAATGGTTTTTCGAAGTTGTAAATAAAAAAGATTATTGAATTATTTTAGTCTTTCTACTGCAAAATTTCACATGTAATTTAATGTTTTATTTGCTGTCTCTTTGTAATGTTTTCTCAAATTTCCTACTAGCAATTTTTCAGCATACGTATTCACATACTACATACTAGAAAAGCAATGTTTTAAGTTGGATGATGTTACTAATGGGATATTTTCAAACACAATGCCCTTTATGGCATTCTGACAGATTTACGTTGAGAGGCTGAAAGAGACATAAAGACGATAGACTGTGGGGTTCAATTACTTCATCGAAGCAGATTCAAAGTATAGAGTGAAAAGAATGAATTTTATAAGCATCTCCTCCTACAAATCATACCAGAGTGAGATATTACTGCTGAAGATAGATTGTAATAATTAAAGTTGGTGGAGAAAAGCGAGAGAGATAAAACTGAAAATCCATCTTTATGAGAAATATCAGATTCACTTTGTTAGACTTGGCCCTGCGGAAACGAGCAGAGAGAGAATTTTATACACCTGAGGCTGTTTAATTTAATTAGGCAGACATCTTCTCGATTACATTACTGGAGGATTGGAATGTTTTTAAAGGACTTCAGTGAAAAACAAAAAACATAAAAAAATTATCTCAGAAACT